TGCTATAACTGAATAACTGATACTGGATATAAAGGAAAAATTCACTTCTCACAGTTCTGGAGACTGTGAAGTCCAAGATCAGGTGGCTGTGTCTGGTCAGCTTCTGGGGAGGGCTTTGTACTGCATCAGGATAGGGTTGAAGGCAACACAGTGAGACAGCAAGAGCATGTGAGTCAACTCGGGTCCCTCTCCTTCGTCTTATGCAGTCCATCTTGGTAACACCAACCTGACGACTTTATCTAATTCTAATTATCTCCCCCACATCCCACCTTCAATCAGCACAGGAATTTGGGGATTCCATTTTTAACACATGAAATTTGGGAGATACATTTATACCATAGCATGACTCATCACCTACCCTCCACAATCAGTAGTTTGCTTTCTTTGTTTTAATTGTTTCTACCCATCCATCAAATCATCTTATTTTCAATACTTTCAAGGCACATTTCAGACATCCTGACAGAGCATCCCAAATACTGCAGCATGTGTGTTATTAACTAGCACTCTACATGTGTTCATGGTTCTTGTCTCTATAGGTAAAATTTATATAAAGTGGAATACACTGATCTTCAGTGTACCATTTCACAGGTATCGTAAAATGTACATACCTATGTAAGACAAGACCTCTTCAAGATGTAGAATATGCCTCCATCCCAGGAGGTGCCTTGGCCCCACACATCCATCTTCACCCTTGTCTTCACAAAGGCTGTTCTCCATGGTTTGATGTTTTCAGAATGAAGAATGTCTTTCCTCTTTCAGAATTTCACACGGAAAATTATACTCCGCATAGTCTTATGTGTATAGTTTCATTTCTTCAGTATTATGTTTTTGAGACTCTTTCACATTGTTGCATATGAACACAGTTTGTTCCTTTTAGTTAAGTAGTATTTTATTTTATGAAAAGACTGCAGTTTATTCACTCTCCTGTTGATAGATACCTGTGATTTTCTAATTTTTGCTATTTTGAATAAATACAACATAAAATTCTTGTATAAGGCTTTTTCTATGGACATGTTTTTATTTTTCTAGGATAAAATAAATTCCAAGCACAATTATGTAGGCTCCATGAAAGGACCCACAACAGAATGTGTCGTGTGTCATAATGGAAATCAGGGCTATTTCTGATCCTGGGGCCACAGTGTTGCACAGAGCTAGACTCATCTCCACCCCCTCACTCCTTCCTCAGGACACTTAGAATTTGCTGGAAAGAGTTGGACAGGGATGGAGCCAGAGTTTAATCTTTTCTGACTGTGAGGAAGTGACTGCTTTTCTCTTTAGTCTATGTCTGTGGACATGCTGGTGACATGCTACTCCAGGCAGGCATCTGGGACCCTAGCAATGGAGCCTCACATCCCTAGTCAGTGTGGCCTGGCAGAGATTTCTGATCCAAAGAAAACATTGCCACCCTGAGTCAATAAGAGTATAAAGGTTTACGTCCCAGTCAAGGTTTCTGACCCATCACAGAGCCCCCATTGACTCTGTGGGTTCAATATCCCCCCAGTAGTAAAATCTAGAATAAACAACCTTAACCAACTCTATCTTAGCTACAGAAAAGTTATTACATTTCTACAAAATAATACCCTTACAGCAGAAGTAGTGCACAAATCAGTACATGCACCATCAGCCATGTGATCCCCAAACAATCCTTTTTCTAGCCCTACACCCCAAACTCAGTGCCTCGGAAAACAATAATTATTTATTATTATCCCTTACAGATCTGTGGACTAATTGGGTTTAGTGAGTGGTTCTCTTCTGGGTCTCTCAAGTAGTTTAAATCAGATGATGTTTGGCCTGGAGCCATCCAAAAGGCTCACTCGCTCACAGGTCTAGAGATGACACCTCGGTAGGGGATGCTGGGTAGAATGCTCACCTGGGGTCTTCCTGTGTGGCCATGGCTTCCTCCTGGCATGGCAGCTGGGGTCCAAGAGCAAGCATCACAAGAAAGAGAGAGCCAGAGTGAAGAAGTAATTCTTTTTATGACCCAGCCTTGGACATCATCCAGTGCTACCACATTCTATTTAGTTGAGAGGAATTACCAAGGCCAGGCCACGCTCAAGGAAAGGGGTCTTAGGCTCCAGCTCTTGCTGGGAGGCATGCCAAATAATTTTTAGACGTGGTTTAAAGTCATCAGTTCTTTTTAAAGCCCTAGGCACTGTATCTCCATAGGAAAATAACACAGAGAGCCAGGGGCTTGGGTGTCTATGCTTAGAGAATGAATGTGTACACGCTTAGAGATCCTGACCTGTAGTCATCACCAGAGCTGCATTTCCTGGAAGATTCTACAGGATTCCAGGATGCTGTTAAACATAGCCACCACCCCTGGCTGCTTGGTCTGTCTGGGCATATGCTGTGCTCACTGTCCCCATCATTAGTAAGCCAAAAGGGGCCCGTGTCACTCCCCACTTGCCTTTTTTCTCACAGCAACATGGAGTGGGACAAGGGAGCTTCCGGCATCCTTGGTGAGGGCAGGGGGCAGTGAGCCTAAGAATGTGCTAAGTGGTTGTTGGAAGTGAGGTTCTCTGTAACACTAAGGAAAGGAAGGTTGTGGCTGGCAGTGTCCATGTGGAAGATGTGAGTCAGATCTAAAGGAAATGATCCCTACTGTCACTTTCGATATTCTGTAACTCCCTAACCCTAAATCTAAGTCATGAGGCAGGACTTCCCCCAGTAAGAGGAGCCACTTGCTAAGACAACAACAGCAAATGCCTGTGTCCTGTGTGGCCCGGTTGCCTTCCTCTGAGACATGACTAGCTGAAAAAGTCCTTGTTTTCTTGCTGTGCCCAAAAGTATGCATGTGTGTTTCTGTGTGTGTGTGTGTGTGTGCGCGTGATCATGGACAGAAAATTCAATGGCAAAAAAAATGCACCTATTGTACTGGGCAAGTGACGTAACTTTTCTGAGTCCCAGGTTGCTTTCCTGTGAGAGGAGAATATTAATGCTGCCTGTGGACTTCCGTGAATGGATTTTGAAGCAGGAGGGGCTGTTGTTATTTGTGATCAGCACTGCATGGCAAGGCGGGCAGTGGCAGCCCCGCTGCAGGCTTCTGTAAAGAAGGCTGCTGGATGAGCGCTCCCAGTGGGGCTGCAGCTGGCACGTCTTGTCCTCTAGGGTGTCGGGTCCAGTGTACCATCCAAGGCTAGGCTGGCAGCCACTCTCTCTATTCTTCAGCTGAATAAATGTCTTTCTTTTCTTAATTACCTCCTTGGGGGTTGAGCATGCTGGTTCTCGAGCTAAAGGGCTAGAGCACTGGAAGACAGGAATTGTGATAAAAAACCAAGTCAGCCTTCAAGTGGTACTTCTTCCTAATAATGAAGGCTCTATGTACGCCCGCTTCTTGTTAATAACTTCTACCAGAGTCCTACATTCCTCACACAATCTTTTTAGGGGATTTTGTTGCAAAACATTTTGCACAGAAGTAGAATGGAGACAAAAACAGGGAATGTACTGATACACTGTTCCTTTTCAGGGTAGGAAGGGGGTGTGGGGGAGGGGATGGAGAAGGAGAGGAGAAGCAACTTGAAAGCTCCAGGTTCTTAAGGGGGCATGACAGGAGCCATGACAGGAGGCCCCACCAGCAGGATCATTGCTGTTGGGAATCCATTGCACCTGTGAGCCTGCCCTCTGAAAACCACGTGATCTGATCTCCAGTGAGCAATAGGAGTACTCGTGGAAACCTTGTAGGCCAGTTAATCCACTGGCCTCTTTCAGCAGATGCAGAACCCAAGGTTACTTAGACAACTCAAGAGGCATGTGGTCTGGAAACCAGCACTCCAGACTCCCAGTGTAGGAAAAAGACTCGAAAACAGTAAAAAGAGCTAACATTTTTAAAGTATTTACTTTTTCCAAGCACTGTACTAAATGTATGACACCGTATAAGTTCTTTTGAGAACTCTAGGCTGGGTGCGGTGGCTCATACCTGTAATCCCAGCACTTTGGGAGGCTGAGGCAGGCGGATCACCTGAGGTCAGGAGTTCAAGACCAGCCTGGGAAACACGATGAAACCCCATCTCTACTAAACATATAAAAAACTACCTGGGTGTGGTGTCGCATGCCTGTAGTCCCAGCTATTTGGGAGGCTGAGACAGGAGAATCACTTTAACCTAGGAGGCAAAGGTTGCAGTGAGCCAAGATCACACCATTGCACTCTAGCCTGGGCAACAAAAGTGAAACTCAGTCTCAAAAAAAAAAAAAAAAAAAAGAACTCTGTAGGGTAACGACATGTATTAACCTCATTTCACAAAGGAAAGAACTCAAACACAGAAAGTTAGAAACAATTGCCCATATTATGTGCCACAAAGTAAGGCAACAGGATGCCCCCAGTAGTTTGTATTAGAGCCTGCGCCTTTATCCGCCACACTTTGATACTAGTCTAGTCATGATAGCAGTTGCCGTTACGGACACCCTGCTGTAGGGCAGGCTGTACACGGGGGCCGTGCACGGATCATCCCATTCAGCCTTTACATCAGCCTTAGAACATCCATCTTTCACAAGTGAGAAGAACTGACACTCAATTATTAAATCCAAGACCCCCTTCCACTTACTTGTGCTCCTGGAGGCAGGGCACCCTGGAGTGGCAAGGACATATATCTGACTGCTTTCCTTGCTTCTTCATTCTTAGCCAGTTGCATATGAATATCTCTATTATACAAAAACTACTTTAAATCATTTTTGGTCTCCTGGGATCAAAGAAAGAAAAGTTGAAAATGTATCACTACTTATCCCATGTTTAGATAGTTTATGGTCTTTTTTGATTTGGCTTGGGATGTCAAAGAGGATAATTACAGCCTGTTTGGAATATCAAGGAATGAGAAAAATGTATTGAACCAGGTAAGAACAGAAGTCTTCTATTCTATATATATATACACAAAAGGATTTATTAAAAACCAGTAAGACACGACTACATTGTGACACCGTCACACTGGACTTTTAACACAAGACTTGCTCTACAATACTGGGGGGAAGGGCATAAAACACAAATTGATTCTGAAGCATAGCAATTAAGAAATAAAACAACGAAAGCAAATTTCTTTTAATGAGAATTCAGAATTAAACTTCAGAGGGACCCAACGCCACACTTCCATTTGGGGACTTGATACAAAAAATTTAGCTTGAACTGCTGTTAGTGGTGGCAGGAGCCACTGTTAAATGAATCTTCAAATTAGAAAACACTGCTTCACCACCTGCTGGGGATTATTCTACTGCAAAAGGAATAATTTAGTGTGGTTTGTAGCTATTTTGATGACCACCTCACCTGGATACCTTCCCATAACCACTCTGCTGGTCACCAACACTTCCACGAGCTCTTCCTGCGAATCCTCCTCTAGATCCTCACTGTTGCTGGTGCTGATATTGTTCCTTCGACATGGCTACTTTTATCTCACATTTCCTATGACCAACATTGTGATATTTCTTTTCCATTATCTTCTTCACCGGTTCCTCTTCCTTAAAGGTAATAAAGCAGAAGCCACGCCTCTTATTGGTCTTCTTGTCCGTGAGGAGCTCTGTGGATTCCACCTCAACAAAACCACCAAAGGACTCCCTTATTTTCTCTTCAGTTGTATCTGGAGAAAGGCCACCAACAAAAATTTTTTTAACTGGCTCTTTTGTTTTCATGGCTTCGGCCCTTTTAGGATCAATCACCTTCCCATTCAATTTATGTTCTTTTTGATCCATAACCTTATCTACACTCTCCGATTCTTTAAATAGCACAAAGCCAAAACCTCTTGATCGCCCTGTGATAGGATCTAACTTCAGAGTGCAGTCTACAATTTCACCAAATTTGGAAAAGTAGTCCTTCAGATTTTTCTTTGTAGTGTCCCAGCCAGGGCCTGCTATAAACATTTTCCATTCTTCCCGCTGTGCCGTCGCTGCTTCAGTGTGTCGTGGGGAGGAGTTTGAATGGCTGGTCGAGTGGCAGCTGCACCTCGTCACTGACGGGCTGCGGCAGGGTGGAGTCCGTGGTACTGGTGATGCTGGAGGGTGATGGAAAGGCTCAGACTAGGAACTACTCTCAACTTTGCGCCCAGCCGCCGCCCGTGCTCAATGTGAGTCGTCTTCTGTTTTATAATGAAGCATTTGGCTGGCCTTGTCCCCAGTTGCTCACAGGTGTCTTCTAAGTCTTTGGAACGATAGATGTGTCTGTTATTCATGGCAGACCCCTCAGATCACGCCTGAGTTGAGTTTATGTTAATGAGGTGACTCAAGTGGACACCAAAATACTTTCAGAAAGGCCATGCTGGACAGAACGACTATGTGATTAGAGACTGGGGTTTTGAGCCAGCTGATCTCGGCCTGACCTCCTAGGAGAGGAGGGGGACTGGAGATTGAGTTTAATCGTGTGGCCAATGATTCAGCAGGCCTATATAATTAAACTGCTGGAAAATCTGGCCCCTGAGGCTCAGGTGAGTTTGTCTGGTTGGTGATGTACGCAGTTGTGCTGGGAGGGGAAACGTCCTGAAGACATGGAAGCTTCATGTTCAGAACCCTCCAGAGCTGCCCCGTGCAGTCTCCTTTTTAGTGGTTCAGGCTTGTATCCTTTTGCTGCAATAAAACTAGGCACATAAGGAGAGTGCTTCCCTGAGTTCTGTGAGCTGCTCTAGCATATTATCAAACATTAGGAGGCAGTAGGAACATCCACATTTGCAGCCGGTTGTTCAGAAGTCTGGGTGGCCTGGGAGCCCTCAATCTTGAAGCCGGTATCTGAAGTGAAAGCAGTCTTATGAGTCGAGGCTTTAACCTGCAATATCTGTGCAAACTCTGAGTAGGTGGTGCCAGAAATGCATTCTACCTGTTTCTCCCCAAAGCGGAGATGTGCAAGAGCTTTTCAGAACAAAGAGCGAAGACTGAAAGTTCCTTTGTCTTGCCTCCTGGAAACTCTCTCCACCATCATCACAACAAAAAGAAGGTTACAAAGGACTATCTTGCAAGCTGATGTGAATTCATGTAAAAAATGGATGGTAAGAGATAAGTAGATTGCTTAGCACATAGAAGGTCTTCAGTAAAATATTGGAATACAAAAACACTGCTCAACTGCCAAGGCATAGCCAACATTGTGGCCCCATATGTTCTCCCCAAATTCTGCCAGCCAAAGATCTCCATCTGAGTTGAGTCACCCTGGGAGCCTGAGAGAGCTAGTCCATCAAGTGGAGTGACCCAGTGTCTGTTAGGGATGATGGGTTGTATGGGTTGTGGGAATCAGGAGGCCCCTCATGACGTGGAAGACAGCTGCTGCAGAGGCTTGTTGAGGGTGAGAGCCAGGTTGCCAAGGGCATGAGGAGAGGGTGCTGAGGATGCAGGTAAACCTTTGCTGGGCTGAGAGGAGAGCACAGCAGTGGGGTGGTGGCTTGAGAGAGGAGGAAGTTTCTTTTAATTCAAAAATTTCCAACTCAAAGGTTGACTGGATCCAATGATAGTCAAGTGATTTCCACAAATGAAAGATTTTCTTTTATAATACCCCGAATTGGTTTGTAAGGAGGAGACTCAATCCTAGCCTCATGCAAATCTGGAGCATTCACACCTCGGATTCTTTGTCCCGGCCCCAAGGAAGAAATTCATCAGTGTCACTTACTGATCACCTGTCACATGCCAGGCATCTCATGCACTTTAGGTGTTGAGTAATGACAGCATCTCCTCCAGGAAGGAATGCCTAGTCCCATTTTACAGGTGGTAACTCTGAGGTTTAGAGAGTTCTCCTTATCTGCTCGCAATCACCAAGGGAATTAGCAGATGGCTCTGTTGGATTCCCCTTGATCTTTTCACTACCCCTCAATACTTCTGTAGACTTGGTGGAAGAAGATGTGGGTACTTAAGCAAAGAATTCAGATTATTGAGTCCTCAAGGAGGAAGGAAGGAGGTTTATAGAATTGTGCAGGACATAAAGAGGAGAACATGGATTTCGGTTCATTCCTTGTCCCAAATCTTAGAGCTCCTGTGGTAGTTCCAAACCTGTAAAAATGCTTAAAACCAAGATGTGCCAAAAGCTGGAAACTGTTAAGAGATTTAGCTAATTGGCTAAACGAATTCATAACTGAGTTATCAGCAACTGTTGAGAAGAATTCTGTTTGTGTGTCAGATCTCTGAGCTGTTGCAGTGAAGCCGTGAGCAACCTCGTGAAGCCTTACATAAGCCACTTGTGACCCACTCACATATGGGAGTTTTAACTGACAGGACCAGTTCAATGTAGATGTGGGGAGTCCAAATATAATCCACTCATGTGCCCTGAAATGTTCTGGGATCTATATTTAAGATGTAAAGAGAGTTAAGTATGTGAGTATACTTCTATGATTAATATACTTAAGCATATTAAGTATGATATAGATGCTTATATGTTAAGTGTGGGAGTGAATATTTAATGGTTTTCATGTCTAATGCTAGCTTTCCATTAAATGTCATTCCCTTGTGTAGGTTTTGGGGGAGCTGGGTGACATATTCCATTTTAATCATCCCCAGTCATTATCAGTCATGGGGTTTGGTTCCAAACTGATGTAAAGTGAGAAGTGACTACACACTGAGGCTGGACAAGGAGCCGAAAGTTACATAGAAGGGCAGAAGCAGGACAATTATCCATTGGGTTGACACATGGTCTCCATTCCCCATCCATCCGTCCATCCATCCGTCCATCCATCCATCCATCCATCCAGTCATTCCATTAATATTTGTTGTCTCTTCACTTTCTTTTTACATTTTAGCTCCAATATCCTTCTTCCTCTAAAGTCAGCCAGAGAGGATGTTGTGTGAGGCAGGAAACAGGATGCAGAGTGGGAGGCAGGTAGGACCAGGAAGAAGTGTATTGGATGATGCTGCAGGGCTGCAGGGTCTGGTTCCGTAGCCCCAGCTTTGCAGCCCAGATCTCCCTCACAGCCGAGTGAATGTGGACACATTGCCCCAGTGACAGCACCCCACTCCTCTGGACGTGCTGCCTCCCTCACCCTTTTCTGCATTTGAGATATGTCGTATGTTTTCTTCTGTAATAATCATGATTTGTGTTTCTTAACAGTTCGTAAAACAGATGTCTTACAGTTATTAGCGCCAATTTCGATAAACAGAATATGAGCTTCCATTTTATTACATGTAAAATGCTAAAGATGATACTTAACTCACAGAATCCATAAGAGAAAAAACAAGATAACATATATGAGATAATATATATGCCAACAAAATGCAGATGTTCTTATTAAGTATTCAATATTTTAATTATTGAGTGTCTGCAGTTGGTGTGTCAGGCTAGCTTAAAAGCCACAGTTCTGAGAATGACATTTTCTAACAAATTTCCTGTTACCCTAAACTTTTTCTTTGTCACTGTTGAACATCGTCAATTATCCATTGGGTTGATACATGGTCTCCATCCTCTATGCATCCATCTACCCATCCATCCATCCATCCTTCCATCCACCCACCCACCCACCCACCCATTCAGTCATTCCATTCATATTTGTTGTCTTTTCACTTTCTTTTTACATTTTACCTCCAGTATACTTCTTCCTCTAACGTCAGTCCTTAGGAGTAGATTTCCGTTTCCTAATGAGAAGAAACGGCCCCCTCCTGTCTAACCTCTCTTGGCCCTCACAGACAGTTATTTTATCACCCTCCAGATTGAACGAAGCCCATTTGTTTCACCTTCTTGGAGAGGTCTTCTCTCGCAGCCTATTTCTCATTTTAAAACAACAAGCCCTTGTAGTAAAGGTGAGGAGAAGTAATATCAGTAGCAGCTCTTCACTGAGGGGAAGCACCCAGTCCTCTGGACTTCCTTCTCTGAGCTCAAGGGACGCTTAGCAAGAGAGATGCAGGTTAACAGCCTGGCAGAGAAGACAGCTGAATGTTGCCCAAGAGTGTTATTACCAGGGGAAATGAAAATAAATTAGAGAGATCCCGTTTCACCTGTCTGCCTAGGTTCTGAAAACTGCCCAACACAGAGACCTTCTGTGATGGGAAAATATCTGCAGGATGCATTTGACATTTGCAGGGAAGGACTTTTATTCCCTTTTTCAAAATCCAGCAATTAAACCTTGCCTCCAGGGCTCTTTCTTGCATTCTCACGTTGAAAATATTAAATGTTATCTGCTCCTCTCTTGCTGGGGCAACACGCAGAGGTAAGAGAAAACCCTTACACAAGCTACTTCTGTCACTGTACCACTCAGAGACCATTGGCAACATCACCACATTACAGACAGAGGTGTGGCAGCACTGGGAAGTTTTGGAAGGGCCTCATCCAGTATTTCCTAGCCTGTGCCTTCTTGGCACATGGCTCTGTGGAATAAATATAAGCTCTATACGCATGTTAAGTTGAGAGATGATGGGATATGTGTCATTCCACAGACATTTTTTCTGCAGAAGTTTTTCAAGCTGTTAACATACTGACATTCATTTTAAAGCTCCACGAAGCAAATATAATTAAAATATTTTATAAATGTATTTGAACCTTGCACTCCTGTTAGCATTTTCTAAAAGCAATGTCGCAGGAGAGGGAGTTCTGTAGGTACTGTTATAAACCAACGTTCATAGATGGAGAAGCTGCAGCCTGACTTTTGAGAAGGAGCCAAGGTCACATGGGATGGCATCGTGAGAACCCAGGTCTCCTGTCTCCCTGCACAGCTGGTGTGGCGATCTGCTTCTTGTCAAACATATTACAAATATGCTTTATTGCTAAGATAAAAGAAGTCCAGAGAAATAGGAACACGTCCTCTCTCTTCTGTGATATGCCACTGTGGCCAAGAAAATAAAAAAATGGAGCGAATAAAAGAGAAAGAATAAATCGTGTCGCTAATCTCCCTTTACTTCAAACTGTCAGGCCTCCTTCTTGCTCTCCTTCCCAGCCCTTCGTTTTCACCATTTAGGGGCTAGAATCAAAGCACAGGTTCCTTCCAAATGAACTCTACAAATAAGTTCCTAGTCGGTTTCTTCGATTTCCATTCCATTTCCAATTCTTATGAAGCACACACAGCTTACAGGACTGCTCTATGAGCTTTACATGTAT